TGTGTTTCGTCATAGATAGATTTCTCTTATGTTAGAAAACGTTTGTTCGCTCGACAAATGCGAACGATTTGAATAAGGTCGTTGATGATAATAATTTGTCGAGGACAAATCTAAGCAATAAACTATGCTATTAGTATACGTAAATCGCGTATGTGCGTTTCGTATTAACGTAACCCTAACAACGATCTCTTTAGTCATCTTTATGTATATTCGTGTATGCGTACGCATTAAATATAAAATAGGACGATTGGGTGAGAAGAGGGGTAGGGGGAGGATGATCTGGAAGAGGGGAAAACAACTATAATAAAGTCACTCTTTAAGGAAATAGATCTGTAAATAGAACGGGGATATAATACTAGAAAATGTCGTTGTACGTGCTTACAAACGTGTGTATATACATACCTCTACGTACGTACATAGATACATATTTACGTACGATCTTTATGGATATAAAGAAAAGAAAAGAAAATGGATGAAACATTAATGCGAGAGAAGAAAAATGTGTAAAGCAATTTATGTAGTTATCTAAGTTTAAACTGCATATAAGGCCGTTTACAAATCGAAGCGATAAAGAATAATACGAAGAAGTTTCTTTTTCTTTCATTTTTTCTTCTTCTTCTTTTTCCTATCTTTCTTTATTTTTATTGTCAATATCTTCGTTCTCATCCGCCATTTCTCCACCCTTCCCCTGCCCCCTTTTGGTTTTATGTATAACGCAACAAGTTTGCAACAAAGATTTCTCTCTCTCTCTCTCTCTCTCTCTCTCTCTCTCCTTTTTTTTTATTTTCTTTTTTTTTTTTTTTTTTTTTCATTTAAAACTGTGTGCACAATTTTGCAAGCATCGCATTTAGACTGATATAAAACGACAATGTATCTTTTGAATTATTCTATTTCCTTTGTAAAGTTCACGGTCGTTATGAGCATCGTTTTAGAATCTTATAGTATTTTCTTCTTCTAACTTTTTAATTTCTTTGTTTATTTTTTTTTATTTATTTATTTATTTATTTACTTATTTATTTATTTATTTATTTTTTTTTTTTTTTTTTTGGACGATATTCAATACAGCACAAATTTTTATTTGTCCTATTGTAATATTGATTCTATCCTATGGCATAAGAATTATACCACGTGTACGTATTAAATTATATTCATAATGTAATTTCAAGCGATATAATACTTCAGGTATTTCATAGTTGTTCAAAAATAAATTCAATAAATTCAAACGTATAAATGAATGAGAGATATATTTCATGGATAACGCAGATATAAAAGAAAATATGAAATAAAAGAGAACGCGTGAGATTTAAGAGGAAGACGCGAATGATTGAAATTACGATTTGATCGCGTTGTAGATCATATAAATATCAAAGCGTAAAAAGATTTAAATAGTAAATTAATTGCAGTTATCGTTGTCTTGCGTTGAAAGCTGCAACCGAATGTGAAAACGCCCACGTTCGAATCTATAAAAAAAAAAAAAAAAAAAAAAAAAAAAAAGTTATCGTAACACGGCACGGGATGGGTTATGGTGATTAAATATAAATGATGTTGTTCTTTTTTTTTTCGGGACAATGAACTTTGCAGCAAAGAGGACAGATGAAAAGAGTAGAGAGAGAGAGAGAAAGAGGGAGATCATAGATCATGCGAATATGATCGTTTATAGACGGAGATTTATTTCTTTGTCTTACCAGGGATAAAAGAATGATGAAGGTGTGTAGCTGGAGATGGATATGTTGGTGAGAAGGGTTAGAATGAATGGGGGATACGGTTAAGTTGGGTGGGCGAGAGGGAAGGATGAGGATGAAGAGAAAGGAGTAGGAGGTTGTATAAAAGCTAAAGATTAGCCGAGGGGATTATACGATACGGATTATTATTTGTTATTTATTATACGTGTTTCGGCGTGCGAACTCGAAAACTACTACTTTACTGTCCTCGTCGTAGTCGTCAATTATACCGTTCGCAACCACTTTCCAGTCGGGGGGTCAATTACCGAATTTAAAAGGCATCGCGTTACACGGTTCTCGTATTACCGAGCTAATATTTTTCCAGTCTAATTGCGCGTCTTCTTCCATCGTCGTCGTCGTCGTCGTCGTCGTCGTCGTCGTCGTCGTCGTCGTCGATGTTGTCGGGCGTCGTCCTCGTCGTAGTCGTCGTCGCCGTCAACTGCCACTATGTGGGCTTCAACGATCGACCTATTTTTACACTGTAGAAATTTAAACGCAATCTCTTTTCACGCGTGTATGCGTTTATACGTACAACATACGCCTACATACGCCTATGTATGTATGTATGTATGTATGTATGTATACGTGTGTGTATGTATGTATGTACATGTAATTTACGTAATCTCCATATAACATGAGTTTCCTCATTCTCTCTCTCTCTCTCTCTCTCTCTCTCTCTCTCTCTCTCTCTCTCTCTCTCTCTCTCTCTCTCTCTCTCTCTCTCTTTCTTTTTTTTCTATATCTCTCTGTATTTTGTCCGATACGATGATCAAACGTAAAATATCTAAAAAAGCTGGGGGTTTTTTTCTGTTTCTTTATTTTTTGTTTTTCTTTTTTTTTTGTTTTGAGATCTTTTTTCTCTCCCCTCGTTAAGCCTCTGTCAATTGTATTTGAAAACGTCACACATATCTACATACGTCACGTAAAGAAAAAGCGTCGTCGTTGTTATTATTTTTTTTCTTTCCTTTTTTCTCTTCTTTCTCTCCCCCCCCCCCTCTTCCTCCCCCTTTTTACGTATTCGCGAACGAAGTTAGCACGATTAAGTTAGCTTTCGAGTGAAATTTAACTCGATGTTTCGTGATATAAAAAGGACGACGACGACGACGACGACGACGGACGAATACGCGTCGCAAAGCATGAAGCAAAGCGAGCCCTGTATTTTTTTTTTTTTTTTTTTTTTATATTTTTTTCTTATTTTCCTTTTTCTTCTTTCCTTTCCCCTTTTTCGTTCTGCACGCATGTTACCTTCTATTGATTTATCAACGTTACGCTGGATGCAACGTAGCGTGTTTAGAAAGTTTCGTCCCATGGAAGGAAAAAATTATCCCTCTCTCACTGTCGAATGAGTGAATGTATTTTATATCCACGTAAAAACAAAGTAGTTTTTCGTGTATGTACACATTGTACACGTATGCACGTGTATGTATGCATGTATCTATGTATGTATGTATGTATATATGCATATATGTATGTATGTATGTATGTATGTATATGTGTACTCTGATGAATGCTCGTAAAGCTTCGTACGTTGCACCGTTTTCTCTAGAACGTGTTCGAAGTTTTCCCTCTCTCTCTCTCTCTCTCTCTCTCTCTCTCTCTCTCTCTCTCTCTCTCTCTCTCTCTCTCTCTCTCTCTGTCTCTCTCTCCGTATGAGGCAGCCATTCAATTTTCGTATGGTGCTAGATTAGGGTAATAAATTTTGATCGTCGCTTTGATAGCTTTCTCGCAAGGAGCAACAAGCTGCTTTATTGTTCACCGTCGAAATGTCTTATGCATGGTATATCGATTTGCGTAGGAAGATGGCCAACTTATGGCATATACATAGTCTATATTAACTTTTGTCTTTTACACTTATATATATATATATATATATATATATACTTCTCTCTCTTTCTCTTTCTCTATATTTTTCTCTCTCTCTCTCTCTCTCTCTCTCTCTCTCTCTCTCTCTCTCTCTGTCTCCCTCTCTCTCACTCATTTTCTATCTTTATATACAGAAAATATTCCTGTAAACCAATCGATTAAATATCGACTTGATCGTACTAAAATTTTGATGAATAATACGTTGTTTAACCATTTATAATTTAATTTTATTCTCTCGTCATTATAATAATGTCAGGTATTACGATATATTACATATTGCTTTGGTATATTGTAAAATTAATCATTCAGATACGAACTAATAATTATAACGCTTTTGATGAATTAAACGAAAAGAAGGAGAAGAAAAAAAAAAAAGAAAAATGAAAAAGAAAATTTATTTCATCAAATAATCATTACTATACCACAATATAATATATAATATATAATATATAATACAATATATCTGTATTATAAGTACAACTTATAATTGGAGAAAAAAGAAGGAATAGATAAAAAAAATAAAGAGAGAGAAGAAAAAAGACATTACAAACTCGAATTATTAAGTGACGATTTTTTTTTTTTGTGGGGGGTGGGAATAAGGTTGAAAGAAAATTTTCTTCTCTTTTATTATGTCAATTTTTTTTTTAC